AAAGAAAACACTTTACAAATGGGTGGCAGGGCGGGGCGGGGCAGGCCTTGTCGCAGTTATTAATACATGATTCCGGCTCGGACTGGCTTTTATTTTTAGCAATCAGCAGGGCTGAGGGGCGAACAATTTATATTCGTAGCCAGAAATCAAACTAAACGATTGCTGCCACTCCTGGCTGCCACAATTCTTGTGGTCTTCTGGCTGATTGCTCAATTAATATCCCTACACCTGCAGCATTTTATTCCATTTGGATTCGATGCGATGCCATTGCCATTGCCATTGCCATCTCATCCATATTTGAGCAGGCCAAACAGGCCAACCAATTGCCAGTTGCCAGATGTTTTGAATTATTAAACGTGCCCCTTCGGCCACACCATCTCCCAGCTCCAGCCCCAGCCCCATCTCCAGCTCCAGCCCCATCTCCATCTTCATCTAATCCGGATAAAGTGTAATCATTGATTGAGCTGTTTACGTTGTTATTTACCCAAAAAGTTGCTCCCAGTTGCTCCCAGCTGCTGGCCCTGGTGCCCTCTGCTGGTATTTGCATAGGCCAGCCACCAGGAATTCTACCGGGCTACCGGGCACCGACCCTATCGCCCTTTTTACCTTTACCAATTGCCATTGCCATTTCGGCTGCGGCTAGCCCTTGGCCATGTTTCCAATCAATCGCAGGGGGCAGCGCAGCTAATTAACTGGCTAAGTAAGTGGTTGCTTCTGTTTCTGCTTCTGCTTCTGTTTCTGCTTCTGTTTCTGGCTGTTGGCTTCACCTCGAGCGGATTCAAGAGAATTGCCTGGGACTGGGACTGGGACTGGGACTGGGTTTTCAGTTCGGGCTGACTCGATTTATGTGTTTAGCGCTATCGCCTCCAAACAAAAGAGAGGGCAAAAAAGGCAAGAAGGAACAGGATGAAAGTACGAAAACAAAGATGCTCAAAGATTGCTCATTTCAACGTAATTTGAGTTTAGAGCAACAGCATTAACAGCAGCAGCAAGGCAGCAACAAGGACCAAATGCTCACAAAATATTGCCAGTGGGTGGAGAGCAGGGCAACAAGAACAAGAAAAAGAACAACAACAACAGCAATGAAAAAAAACAGTGGAAAAAGTCAAATAAAAGTTTTTGGGCTTCGCCGTGGAAAGGATTTTCGCTCAAGTCAATAAACCAAAAGCTAAAAACCCAAAAAGGCGGCGCCGCGACACAAGATGCCTCTCCACAGGCTCCACGGCAGCCTCGCCGTGAGTCTAGCCACCGAATCAGAGTGCGGCTTAGGCGCTGATGCTGTGTCTGGCAGCCAAAACGGGGCACAGCTTATCCCAGAGAGCCCATCATAGAGCAGCAGCCACAGTGGCTCAGACCAGAGTCCAGGTGTTTCGTTCACTCACCGTGTCCGAGATATTGACTTGGGACTCGGCCTAAACGGTTAACGGTAAACCTAATTACTTCTCAGCGCAAATATAAAATTAACTACCTAATGATATTTATTTTAAAAGCCAAATGAAAATGGCAAGTCATTTACGCAGCTCGCAGCTTCGCATCTCCTCCTTCGCCTTCTCCTTCTCCTTTCCGCTTCCCTTTTGGCAAACCTTTTCGAGCACCAGCAAACACCTTGGAGTCCCACCTTTTCCACCGCTTCACCGCTCCAAGGACAGGCCCAGGGCACACAGATGGGCACTCCATTAGCCGGAGCCAGCAGCAAAAATTTAATATCCATTTGTGCCCCGAGAAAATCCAAAGCATTTCCCCATAATTATCTCCCCAGTGGGTGTGCCAGTGCCAGTGCCTGTGTCCCTAAGCAAGCTGCATTTGGCCTGCGTCCACTGCTAATGCTGATTGTGATGCTAAGCAGCAGGACATAGAGACGCAGATGCCACGGCTACACACGCCGACATAGCCGACATAGCCGACAAGAACGGTGACCCAAGCAGAGGGCCAAGCAGAGGGCTACGCATCGAAGCTCCTGGGTCTGTGCTCGAAGCGGAAGAGCGGAAAAGCGTTGGGACCAGCCCCTGCCCCTGCCCCTCCCGCTTTTGTTTTTATCCCGGAAGCAGGACAACAATTCCCGAGCATCTTTAAGGCCATTTTTAGTCTAATTATGGTCGCGTGTTTTTTGTAGTAGCGGAGAAGGTCCTACTCGTGTAGAAGAAGGAGAAGGAGTAGCAGTACGAGTAGGAGTAGCAGTACGAGTAGGCGAGTACGAGTAGGCGAGTAGGCGAGTACGAGTAGGAGACTACGACTAGTTGCTCGTAGCGAGTGGCAGCATTCGCCTACAACTGAGCGAACACTTTACAGTTTTTATGACCCATCCTTGCGTGCTATCCTCGCACCGTTAACGTAGTCCTGCATCGCAGCTTGTCAGCAATTTATGCGCTTCTGAGTGGCAGTCAGGCGAAACAAAACAAAACGAAACGAAGGCCAGGCCGAAGACGAGACCTTTGGCACTCTCCAAAGACGAAACTTTAGGCTTTAACTTCAGCTTTGTCCAAGCCAAAAACTTTTGTCGTTTGCCAACACACTCGTCACAAGGCAATGGTGGGGCTGGTGGGGGATGTGTGCAAACTCTTGGGGCAAATGAATTTCCACTCACTTTCAGCCAGAGACAAAGACAAAGTTAAACTATATTTTTTTTTTTGTAATATTTTCCAAGCCTGTCCGGGAGTGCAGTGTGACGACAGTAGTCAACCCCCCACCCACCCACAACCAGCGTTAATAAATGCCTTTGGATTCACGGGAACACGAGCAGCTGGGCTGGGGTGGGGTGGTGTGGGGGTGGGCGTGGGCGATTAATTCATTATTCAATGGCATTCACAATCGGCCTCATTACGCATTCAGAGAGTATCTGATGATGCTCCCCGTTATTAGTGGTACGAGCTATCTGTGTATCTGTTTCTGCTTCTGTTTCTGCGTTGTTGAATATCTTACGTCCGTTCGTTCGTCCGTTCGTTCGTCCGTTCGTTCGTCTGTTCGTTCGTCCGTTCGTTCGTCCGTTCGTTCGTCTGTCCGTTCGTCCGTCCGTATGTCCGTCTGGCATGATGCCATTAAACGACAGCCAGCCAGTATAATTTTCGGCCACCTGAATCTGAATCTGAATTGCATTAACATTGAGGGGGGGAAGTTGGAAATGAATCGGAATGAAATGGCCGGGAATTACTCCCCCATAAAGTTTAAAACAACGAAAACAAGCATCAGACGGACAGGCGGCCATAACAAATGCAAATACAATAATTAAAATTAATTAAAGCCCAAAGTAAATAAATAAATGGAGTCCGTGTGCCGTGTGCCGTGTGCCGCGCGTTGGCGACCCGAGTTCAAACCCCCAAAACCCAAAACCCAAACCCCAAACCCCAAGCCCAGCAGCAAACAACCCAATTGCGCTGGCTCGGGGCCCGAATGCTGGGCAACTTTAATTAATGCTGTGGCATTATTTATATTCGCAACAAAGTTTGTCTTTCGCGGCCCCCACAAGAGTCAAATTGAATTAATCAATTTAGGCAGCAAAAAAACAGCAACAGCAACACCAGAAGCATCCACAAACTTCGGCTAGAGCCGGAGGCTGCCTTACCATGTAATGATCACGAAACGGAATGAACCCATTTATGTACGGCCCGCGGAGTTGACTTCTCATTAGGCTGCCACGCATCTCACCCACTTCACTCCTGAAGCACTTCGAACTTAAAGTGTAGTTAAGCTCACGACAGAGTCAAGCATCACAATAGTTCCATCTCTAGTTCTTCGCTCTCTGAGAGAGCGCGTGAATGACTCTCTCTCAGCTTTGCGGAGGGTCGGGTCGGGTCTCGTGCCGTGCACGCTGCGCTACCTGCGAGCGGCGCATTTCCAAGCGATCAACGAGCATAAAGAGGCGTAAAAAGACACTGCTCTGCTCTGCTCTGTTCTGTTCTGCTTTGTGCTGTTCTGTTCTGTGCTTTGTTCTGGAACAAAAGTAACGGTTAATCACAGCCACATGGTGTGTAAGTAGCAACTGCAAACGGCGCAGCAAAACTTCATCTGGGAATAGTTCTGTGGAGTTTCTAGGGGAACCAAATAAACATATTTGGTTCTGTGGCAGACTGCACACGGCTGAAACTTGTGTACCGCAATTTTCACTCTTACTTTCACCTAGGCAGCGACTTCAGTTTCAGCTTTTGGATGCTTCGGTACTCTGTCCCCCCTTGTACACTCTCCTCTCCTCGAGTTGCTGTGTGATTTATAAAGCCACCGAAAGCCGTGCCGAAAGGTGTCGGTGGGCAAACACAAAACAAAAAGAAAAACGGTCTTTAAATAATGAGCCAAAGGTGTAAGCGAGTGGAAGTCAGCTCCTCCGTTGGCACGGCGCTAATTAAGTTGACAAATGTGGCCTGCTTCCTTTCCCCCCACTACCACCAGTCTTTGCCCAAGCTTCCTTCCCCAACCAAGCACTGATTATGATAATGTTCTGCTATGCTCTGCCGGAGAGCGGAAGGAAGCGGCACAGTCACAGACGCAGAACCATAAACAGAACCATAAACAGAAACAGAAACAGAACCAGAAGCAGAACAAAAAGCAGAACCAGAACCAAAACTGAGACTGAGACTGAGAGAGAGACTGAGAGAGAGAGAGAGACTCTCAGTCCCCAGGGGGACATGCAAATTATTCATCTGCGAATGTCAAAGCCCACTGATTGCCAAACATTGTAGGGGTCTTAATCATTCGTCGTTTACCCTGACAGAGATGTATGCAAAGAACGGGCCGGTGTACTGTACTGTACTCCATGAATGACAATTGACGGCTGCAGTTGGCAAATGTCAGTTGTGGGCAAGATCTGGCCAGTCCTTGCGGCCGAAAATCGAGCAGCAGGTCGTCCCACCAGAGGACCAAAAGGTCGCTGGCCATAGCAACAAGTCCTTTGGCAACATGTTGCCCCGTGGCTGTGGTGAGTTGGCCGCAGACGCCGTCGCATGGCCAACATGTTGCGGTTCCCGATGCCGATGCCGATGCCGCTGCCGCTACCGATGCCAATGCCACAGAAGGCGCCAACGATTGACGACTGACAGTGTCAGTGTCAGTGCTCCACGAAGGTTACGAGGCACGAGACACGCCGCGCAACGTGAGCTCTGTGTCCGTTCTTGGAGATTCCCCCCACACACACACACACACCAATTTTTTTCTTGTTTTTCTTGCGTGCTTTGCGCTTCGTTCGGTGTCCAGTTTCAGTTTCAGTGTCGCGTCGCGAGTGCGATTGCTGCACGAGTGCTGCAAGTGACAGCCGATTCAGGTGATCAGCCAGGTAGGATCCGCGGCGATCCGAGGGACAGCCTCACGATTGGCACCTTCTACCGCTATCTGCGCCAGCTGCTGTCCGCGCTTGCCCCGCTGGCCACGGACGCAGTACTCCAGCTCAATGGCAGCTATGCGGCACAGCAGCTCTACGGGGGCGCCTCCCCGGGAGCCTTTGGCGTTGGCTGGAGCATCGGCAGTGGCAATGGCAGTGGCAGTGGCAGCGGGATTGCTGAGCAAGAAGTTAGCATCAGTGGCACCGATCTGTTGTACAACTACAACTACAGCGGCAATGGATTGGAGCTTGCTCTGGAGGCGGACCTTGGCGCCCGGACCGGGCTCGGCCTGCTGGCTAGCACACTGTCCACTGTGGTAGCCACTGGCACAGCGGCCCCGTCCAGCAGCAACCACAGCAGCCGGGTGGGAGTGGCGAGAGTGAGTGCGGATGTGCCCATCTGGGTGATACCCTGCTACTCGATCATCCTGCTGTGTGCCGTCGTGGGCAATCTGCTGGTGGTGCTCACCCTGGTGCAGAACCGTCGCATGCGCACCATCACCAACGTCTTTCTGCTCAACCTGGCCATCTCGGACATCCTGCTGGGCGTCTTCTGCATGCCCGTCACCCTCGTGGGCACCCTGCTGCGGCATTTCATCTTCGGCGAGTTCCTCTGCAAGCTCATCCAGTTTGCCCAGGGTAAGTGCAGCCCTTTGGCTAATTATGCTAGAGCCTAACGACAAATAAATGTAAAGTGTGTCGGGCCTGTGCTAATATTTCCCACTCCGAATCAAATCAGGAGCCCCAGCAACCCATTACCCTTCGAAGGGACATTCGAGAACCCTTGCAGACATATCAGCCACTGCACATCCAGACTAGGTTCTCGGGTACGCATTACAACACACATTTTTGGTCTTAGTTTAAGTGTTGCACAGGGATGTGGTTACACTTTTGGGTGCCTTCATTCGCCGACAGGGGACGAACTTGGGTCGTGGCCGGACCCAAATGCAATCGAATGGCCACGAATGGCCTCCCCTCAATGTTTCACTGCCCCACACTTCCCTAGCACTGCAATGGCACTTGCTCCTCCCCTCACGGCTCTGGAGCAGAGTTGTGTCGGAGTGGCAGCTCATCCGCCATATCTTCAGTATTCAAAGTGGTTAGCGTTGGTTCTTGTGTTAGCGGAGTCGCCGCCTCACGTTGCAGGAGCCCAAGCTGAAGAGCTGCAACGCGGGTCCAGTGGTGTTGCGGCTCGACATTTTGCATTTCTGTTTTGTGATGGAGAATCAATCAACCCAAAAGCACACGGCACACGGCAGATGACAAGTCGAAGACACAAGTCTACAATTTATGCTTTTTTTTTATTATTTATTGTCCGAAAATGGGGCAGAGACAGGGGCAGAAGCAGTGGCTGTGGCTGTGGCATTTGCTAAGCGGCGCTGCTGTTGGTACCATTATTCTCTTTCTCTGTTTCACCCACTCTGAGCATTGCAGAGGAACACGCTCTCATTATCTCGCTCCTTTGATCCCCTCTGAGCGAGTAACTCCATTGCACACACACACTCTCTCTCTCTCTCTCTCTCTCGCATTGGACAGACGACAAGTGCAACTGTAAGTCGATTAAGGCAATGAGACACACAACAAGGAGAGAAATACAAAGGCAAAGGCAACAGTGATTATACACTGAGAACAATCCCATGGCGTATTTCCAAGTAACAGACAGACCGAAGTGCACTCAGAGCATACTAATATGATCCGACATGTACATAGATACACAGGAACTATTTATTTACGAGGGCTGTCCCAGCGAAAGCCGATTAAAAAAGGGAAATCCGACTAATAAAAGCTTATGTTTAAATACTTTCATTTAAAAGGGCTTAGTCCAACCCAATTAAAGTCGAGCTGGATTGTACCCTAGGGGAAAATAATAAACAATAATTTACAACAATAAACTATTGGGTGGCAGAGTTTAAGCGAGATGAATATGAATATATATGAATATATACACGAATATCGTAGTGGGCGACCAAACGAGGAGACCGCATCAGAAGTGGTGGAAAAAATTAAAGAATGTGTATTGGATGATCGGCGATTGAAAGTTCCTGAGTTAGCTAAATGTGTGGGCATTTCAAAAAGTGCTGCACATCGCATGTTCACCGAAAAACTGCACATGGAAAAGCAAAGCGCCAGATGGCTGACTTCAGAACAAAAGCAGCGTCGAAAAAATAAAAGCCATAACGAGTTATAACTGTGGATGAAGCATGGGCTGATTATTTTCTATTTCCAAACTCGAAAAAAATTACTCGCTGGAAAAAGATTTGACAGCAACAAGGAGGTGGAGGTGGAGGCGGAGTCCGAGGCTAATTTCTATTTTGAGGAGCTGCACAGTACTTACTATATACAGGGTATCGAAGCTATTGATAGCGACCTACAAGTATCCTACGCTGAAACCCAAAAAATATTCCAAATTTCTGAGTTTTAGTGTTTTAGTGGTTAGGTCGGCTATTTCTGGGACATCCCTCCGACGGACATGCAAAGAGAGCTCCACTTACCGCAGATACGCGGAGTGCCCCGAATATGCAGAGCTAGGCATTCGTTTCATCTGCCGCTGCCCTCGAGACGGTCACTGGACACCCTCTCAGCTGAGCGCCCCAGTGGGACGCCAAACGAATGTTTACACTGTCCGCCGCACATTCACAAATAAACATATAGCTCGTATGCGAATGCCCTTTACTCTTTGCCGCACAATGGGTCCGAATACCCAGAATTATAATTACTATAAATAATCTTGTATGAGCTCGAAACATTCGCAATCGAATCAAATATCCAAGTATCCCTCTTGACTTGTGTCATTCCTCGAAACTAATTGAGAACCAAAACCAAGTAGGCTCTCGATTTGTATAAGGAAGTGCCACAATGGACAGATGCCGCTTGACGCTGAATCCGAATCCGATTCTCAAAATCTGAAAGTATTCATGCAGAGGAGGCCACTCGATCCGGTCGTTGCATATTGGAAGGTTTCTAGCGGGACGGACAGCCGGGAGTCCGCAAGCAAATTAAATGGAGCCGAATAGGGAGACGGTGAAGCAGCCCGACTCCAGTCAACTGAAACGTGTTAGGCAACAGATCCTGCTGGCCAATGTCCAGGAGCTGATCCAAAAGATGACGCATCGCTGCTTCAGAACGTGCATCGTGCGGCCGGGCCCCAGGCTGAGCACCACCGAGCGGGCCTGCCTCTCCAACTGCGCGGATCTGTTCATGCTGACGGTCCAACGGGTGTCGCAGCAATACTTCCGGCGCAAGCAACGCCAGCAGCAGCGCCGCCTAGCAAATGCCAAAGGCACTGCTGCAGCCACTGCCACAGCCACTGCTTCTGCCCCTGCCGCATTTTCGGACAATAAAAAAGCATAAATTGTAGACTTGTGTCTTCGACTTGTATTGTATTGGCATCTGCCGTGTGCCGTGTGCTTTTGGGTGTGGATTGATTGATTCTCCACTGGACCCTCCGGTGCAGCTCTTCAGCTTGGGCTCCTGCAACGTGAGGGGGAATGGGGACTCTGCCAGTTCAAGCCTTGAACTTCAAGGCGACTCCGCTAACACAAGAACCAACGCTAACCACTTTGAATGCTGAAGATATGGCGGATGAGCTGCCACTCCGACATAACTCTGCTCCAGAGCCGTGAGGGGAGGAGCAAGTGCCATTGCAGTGCTAGGGAAGTGTGGGGCAGTGAAACATTGAGGAGGAGGCCATTCGATGGCTCATTCGATTGCATTTGAGGTCCGGCCACGACCCAAGATTCGTCCGCACTGTCGGCGAATGAAGGCACCCGAAAAGTGTAACCACATCCCTGTGCAACACTTAACTAAAGACTAAGACTAAAAATGTGTGTTGTAATGCGTACCCGAGAACCTAGTCTGGATGTGCAGTGGCTGATATATCTGCAAGGGTTTTCAATTGTTAGCTGGAAAGGCCATGGAAGAGCAGACTTGATTCGTAGTTGGAGTCGGCAATTGGAAAATGTTCTGGCTCGCTGCAAGCTCTCCTTTTTCCCGTGAAGCTTCCCCGGAAAGTTTTGCTTGCAGCTGAAACATGAAGGATTTTATTAGCAAACTTTATGAAAGGATTGGAGCCCAAAGAAGCTTCAAATTTGCCACGCTTCCACGCGCCTCAAGTGGCGCCTTCTCCGTAAACTCAGGCAAACTTTGGACAGCCCAAAGTCGGGCTCGTGTAACATAAGCTTTTGTCGTCGTTGACAGGAACAGGGACAGGGACAGGGACACGGCCTATGCGCCGAAGGAGGATGCTCATAAGGGGGGGGGAGACATGGGCAGAGAGGAGTGTGCCTGCATAAGGCGTGTAGCGTGTGGTAGGGGGGCGGGGTCCCATAACTATCTGTTGACCATATTTAATAATTTTGATTGCACGTCGATTTTCCACTTAAGCAAACTGTCCTCCTCCTCCATTCTGCACCCTCCTCCATTCTCCATTGACTTTACGCACAATTTCCGCGCTTATTTATGGGTTAAATCATAAGTCAAGGTCGCATCCGCCCCACGCAGGCCCTCAGACTCAGAAGGTCCTCAGTTGCCACTCGCCAAAGCCAAAGGCAAAGCCCGCTCTTTATGGCGTGTGGCAAGTGTCCATATCTCTGAATCGCAGAGTGAGGGGACCCAACTAACGACCGAGTGTGCCCGTCATTATGGATTTTTCAAGGGTTCCAAAGATTAAGTATGAACACTCCACTCTCCACTCTCCACACACACACTCCGCTGCCTCCCCCTCCCACTCCATTTAGACCCTCACAGCCTGGGCTACCCTGTGCCAAGGGGACATGGGGGGCTCCTTAAAAGACCTTTAATGCCAATGACTGACCCGAGATTTCATACGCACACACAGTCTCGCTCTCGCTCTCTATGTCTATGTGCCCCTGTGGGTCCAGCACGCTTCGCAGACATAAATTTCAGGCATCGTGGCTTCATCTGCCAGGGATGTGTGCTCCTCAGCTGTGGCTGTGGCCGTACACCGAATAAACCCTAGATTGATCAGCGAAGATAGTTTCGATGAACTCGGCTTGTTGTAGTTGTGGAAGTTGTCCCATTTGCCTGCCTCGTTTGGGGCTGTGTTGTCGCAGCTTTATGAGCAACGCTCCCGACACTCCCGACACTCCCGACACCTGACACCTGTCACAAATCCTTATCAGCTGGGGCGGATAGTTAAATGTTTGGGTCCGTGGGCGTAGCTCCCATCAAAGTGCATCCAAGACGACATTCTAATTATCTGCTCATCATTTTTGAATCAGAAGAAGGCGGCAGAGGGAAGCGATTTGTGCCTCCTCCTGTCAGGCAGAGTTTCTCAAGGATCCGATGAATTTTGCTAACCCCACACTAAGCCAAGCAGCAGAGACTCTGGCTCCGGCTCCGGCTCTGGCCCTGGAATAAGGCCACGGCTAAGCCTCCGTTTTCAGTGCGTATTACTCGAAACTTGACGAGATGCGACTGAGCTGCTCCCCTGTCCTTGTGCACTTTTCTTTTGGGTGCTTTGATGCTCAATAAAAAAACATAGCCAAGCCTCTTTGGGGCACATGCCCCACATGCATACCGCCTGTATGCTGCAGCATCACTGTGTGGCATAGTCGCTGCTAATCCTGTGCCTTGCCATGTTTTCGCAAATTCTTTCCACTATGCAACGTCAAGTCACGTCGCCCACTTGCCTCCTCCTCCTCCTATCGTATGCGTGTACCGGTGTGTGTATGGTGTATGGTATGGTGTATGATGTGTGTGTGTGTGTGCAGTTTCATGGCTTGTTTCCGTTTCCTGTGCCTGTGCCTGTGCCGCCTTTGGAGCACACACGACCCAGTTACCAGCACGGCACAGTACTCAGTCATCACAGACGCTTAGAGGCTGCTGCTGTTTGTCTTTCTGCAAGTTTGTTTTTGGGGCTGGGGCTGGGGCTGCCGGAACTGCTGCCTGCCTGATGCCTGCACATGGCATTTCTTATTACGGTTTGGACGGGCCCCACGTCTAACTTATTAACAACATAATAACAATGGCAGGCAAACAACTTGAACGCCTCCTTTGAGAGACGCACAACCATCCACCCACACACACACACACACACACCCACACACACAAATGGCAATTTGTTAGACAAACACATTGGCAGCACCCCCACCCTCCACCCCCGCACTTAGCCTTGAGTCAAGCAACGTGCCCCAAAGCGGTCGACTCGCATCTGTTGCATGGCATCGTTTTGCTCGTAAATTTATAAATGTCATCGCTGGTCACTGGTCACTGGTCACTGGGCGCTGGGCGCTGGCCAAGCTGTCAGCCCAATTTATGGGGCATCATGTCAAGGTGCAGCAGTGGATGGTACGGCAGGGTGCAATGCCTTTGCCACTCCTACTCCCACACACACTCACACCTGGGCCACGCCCCACTGATTTATTGTTGTAATTATGCAGTCGTGCCCATTGGCATTGCCATGAATTGTTGCTGCCACAACACTCCACACTCCACACTCCACACTCCACTCTTAGATCAGTTTTTTCCATGTCCCCTGTCCCCTGTCTCCTGTCCCACTGGTTTCAGCTGCCAATTCAATTACTTTGCGCGTGGAGTCTAAAAATTTGTGAATTCGTAAAATCCAATTGTGAGAGCAGCTCCTGCATGGATTTCGCTGCGCGTTTAATCTGTGAGTTGTGGAGCTGTGTCTGCACTTGTTGCCCCGTAGCCAGCCGTGGCCAGCCTTGAACCGGCCTCCTGCTGCGCCGCCCAGCAGGACAGCTGACAGCTCAGCAAATTGATGATTAATTGAATTTCGTCTATCGCGAGGCTTACCTTGTGCTGCTTTCCTTTTTCTTTTATTTTCCTTTCTTTTCTTTCGTTTTGATGTTCGCTTCTTGGATACGAAAATCAGCGCAATGTCCTTGTAGTCATTAATTAGGCAAAGACCAAGGCAAAAGGTAAGGCAAGCCACGGCGGAGACGTGATGTTGCCAGCTGGTGAGTGGGGTGGTTGGGGCCTAGCCTGCACTTTGTGCAGCTGCTTCAGGGGATCTGTGTTGGCTGTGGCTCGTATGAGTGAGACCCAAGCAGCACACACAAGCAGCAAGGTTGTGCATACACACCACACCACATCGAGCCTGTGTGTGTGTGTGTGTGTGGGGGCAAGGTAAATGCTGCATTAAGAGCAAATGCCATAAGTGGAAAAATGAAATGGAATAAAAAAAAATATAACTATATTCCCCCTTAAATGTGATGTGATGTGATGTGTGTGGTTGGTCGTGGCGGAGGGTTGCTTGGAGGAGCGGGGGAAATATGAAAAATGTTATTTACGTTCATCATCCCATCATCTTTCTCCCACGCACACACACACACACACACACACACACACACGCACTTGTTCAAATAACACCCACACGAGGGCGCAACACGAGGAGGCGCTCGCTCCCATGCGCCATGCCATGCCATGCCATGCCATGCCATGCCATTCACTCACTCGGCTCAGAGCTCAGCGCTCAGCTCAGCACTCAGCGCTCAGCTCAATTTTTGCGCTGTAACTGTAGACTCAACTCCTCTAGACTCTAGAGAGCGAAACGGTAGCGGTATATTTGACTTGGGCGGCAGTCGGACCTGCCCCATCTCACCCATTCCCCCATCATCATCCGCACGCCAAAATAAATTGAATATTCGAACTAGCTGAGGAAAGGACTGAGGCAGGAGCTTTAGAAGGAGCTGTACCTGTTAGCTAGAGAGACGCTCTTCTCAAAGAGCAACAGCGACCACGCCCAGCCGCCTTGGATAGCTTCCTGCCGCTGCTGCTGCTGCCGCTGCAAAGTACCGATGATACTTTCTGTGTGCTGAGCCCATGCCATGGGGGACATGGGCCTAGTTTTTGCTTGCTGGTTGAAGGGTTTGTTTCGTTTGTGGTAGGCCTGCTACCGGGGTGGGGTGGGGTCGTGGAGGCTTTGTTGCCTCCTTTTAATCAGAGTTAACCAGACGGAAATGCGACGAACTTGAGCAGCCAGCCGCCAAACCCCAACCCACCACCCGCCCCCGTGCCACATGAAACATTTTCAAGATTTGTTTTTCCACTGCCAAAGCCAAAGCCAAAGCCATCATCATTTTTTTTGTGCGAACTTTGTGCTCGCGTGGCGCTTACAGTGGGGTCGGATTGGGGATTTTGGAGCTTACCTGCAGAAAAATGAGAAAAAAAAGCATACAGGCCAGAGCCGTCGCGTCGCGTCGCGTCCCGAGTCTGAGGCCCAGTGGATCAGTAGTACGATGTGTGGCATGCAATTAGCTTCGCTCAGCCAATGATGAGTTGTCGCTGACAACGGGAACAGGCAAACAGCAACAGGGAGTGGGGGTGGGAACGAATGTTTATATGTTTGTTCTGCCGCGTCTCTCATTGCAG